GCCCAGACGCGGGAGAGGAACTCAATCCGAGCCCCCACCCCCGACACACACTCAGGCCCCCGGAGTTCGAGTCTTGTATACTGCGTTCTCAGCTCTGCCCGACAGCTTCCAGCCAAACTTCGCCAACTCCGCTTCCTTTGCCGCCACCATGCCTAAAACGGTGAGTACCGGAGATGGGCGCTGTCGACCCTGGGGGTTCTAATAAACTCCTGTTGTCCTAAGCTGATGGCTGCCGGTTTGACCCACCACCAGCTCGCTTGGGACGCCGCGACCTTTGCGGTGGCCCACGGTTGGGAGGGGACGGGAGTCGAAACCTGATCTGGCGCGCCCTCGGGAGTGAGGGGATGTCCAGGCTAGAAGCGTGGACAGGGAGGGGCTGGCCTCTTTCCCAGGTTCCAGTTCTCTGCGTTCGGAATGCGACAGTGGGAGAGGCTTCGTTTGGGGCCCTGGGTTTCTTCGTCCCCTGAAGGGCGTGGGCGCGAGGAAGAGGACTCCAATTCAGAGGAGAAAATTTCCCTGGGCCCAGGAATTGGTGCTTTTCTGGGGCAAGACTATTGCTGTCCAAGAGGGGCCATGGAACAGAGACGCCGGGAATGAGGGAGCTGCTGGGCGGATCCCGCACCCCCACTCACCTTTCAGACAGCTTCAGCTGTTTGTGTTTCCAACTAGGATGTGAAGAGAGAGCAATAGAGTGACACATCATTCAGGTTATCCCCTTTTACCCAGGAGTGCCAACAATTCACTAAGTACCAGTCTGAGGGGCCTATCCAATTCACTGGGAGAGACGACTGGTTTCCTCCCTCCTCTCCACCCGCCAAAACCCTGACGCTGTAGAGACCATAGAATCTGCCCTTCGCATTATTTAATGCCTCTCTGTCCTATCTGGACTGTTCTGTGGGGTGTGGGTTCTCTCCTGTGGGGCCACACCTTTCTAAAATACTGGTTGATTTTGGGATCTGGTTGATCTCCACCCCCTCACTGGCTGTTGAGAAGAGTTGAAGCCTCCTGGGAGTGGGGCCTAAGGGGGCCGGATGCCCAGGAGGGAGGGAAGGGGGAGGGGTGTGCCTGACTAATGAGCTCTGCTTGCTTTTGTGCAAGTCATGCCAAATGGCTGCTGAGGCCCTTCCCTTGTTAAGGAAGGGTTGGTGATCAACTTTGGCTTGAGTCTTTTTGGCCAAGCAGCTTGTTGAGATGGCTTAGGTTCTCCCAGACCCATCTTCCTAGACTGAGTGTTGTAGAGCTGAGATAGTGATTAGTAGATTTAGGACCAGCTGGCGGCTCTTGAGATGAGGGGAGAAGAGTGGGGATCCCAGTTCTTTGGTTGCATGCTGAGGTTTAGCTTCCACATTGCTGTATTTAAGCCCCACTGCCAAGTCATTCTTGCTTTTCCAGAGCCCTGTCCTTTTAAGATAGCAAGTTTCAAACAAGTATATGCTTTCACTATCTCCGTCTTTTAAATTGCCTACGGTTTTATGACTTGGGCCCTTTCCGTATTTTCTTCCCAAACTCTCTCCTCTACAAAGGGAGAGAGAGGTTTTGCAAAAGAAATGGGAGGATTATAAAGATCTTTCTAGGATCTTCTGGGTCTGTCTCTAGTTGATTCCTGCCCAAGTATTTGGGTGGATCTCTGAGAGTATACATTGCTCTGTAGCCTCTTCCCCTTTGGCATATTGCATCCTAAGTTCTGAGACACCTTACGTTTAAACACAACTTGATGGGCCTCGAAGTTGTTTTAAAGTTGCATTAACTATCCCATTTCAGACAAAAAAAAAAAATGGTAAAGAAGACAAGGTGGTGATCCTGTCCCTGGATATGGAGAGGGATTGGGATGTAAACTATTTCAGGTCAGGTCTGGTGTATTAAAAATACCTGAATTACTAAAGGTATTTATATGCAAATTGAAGCTTGAATCAAGTTGGAAGGTGAGGGTTGAATTTTCTTAGTCCGAAAGTGTTAGAGTTTTTCATACTGTTTAACTCAAGCAATGTCAACTTGGGACAGTTGAGACAATAGAATCTTAACCTAAAATGGACCTTGGAAACTATTCTAGTACAATTAGTACAATTTTCTAAAAAAAAAAAGATTAACAAAGATATTTAGATCTAAAGGAAAGTTCCTGCCTAAAGGGTCGTGGTCATTCACTGAGCCAACATGGGGTCCAGGCTTTCTGATGTACATTCTGTTGACACTGCAGTATGACCTTATGATTGAGTTCTTGAAATTCTTGCCCAAAGTAAACTGCCCACTGTTTTCAGGTGTGCATAGTCCTTAAATAAAAGGAAATAGTTAACATGGGCAAAGTAACCAATGGTGCCATTTGTGTGGTCTCCTGGTAAGATTTGGGAATGTGACAAGGTGCCTCTTGTTACCTTTTTCATTTCTCATCGCAGTGCTGAGCCACACCTGAGGCACTCCCTTGTTCAGTGAATACCAGCTGATAACTTTAATGAAGAGGGGAAAAATTCCCTATTCTCCACTGGTATGCTTTAGGCTGTTTCTGGAGTATGACAGATAGAGAAGTGTAGAGGAAAAAATCAAACCTGTTCATTCATATGAACTGTGTCTATGATCCAGGGTCAGTTTCAGTTTTATAGCCAAACAGCCTCTCTTAAATCTGTTAAAACATGCCTCTCTCCCCCACCTCCTTCTTGACATTCTTAGACTCTACTTCTGGTTGCCAGTTTCCCCAGTCTGCTTTAATACCCAAAATGGAGAAGTTTATTAACTGACACCTATACCTTCTGATAACATGACAGTTATAAATAGAAAAAGGTCTTTCCCTCTTTGTGTCCTCTAACTTTTCTTTAAAAAAAATCATAATGGCTTTGAAGCTCTCTTGGATTCTCTAAAAGATTATTTTTCATTTTCAAGATGTTCTTGAGTTTTTTTTTTATTTCCCTCTTTAAGATTTACTAAATTATAGTTTTTTGTTTTGATTTTGGTTTTTTTTTTTTGAGACAGGGTCTCACTGTGTAGTTCAGGTTGGCCTTGAACTCGCTGTAGAGTTCAGGCTGGCCTCAAACTCAAAATGATCCTCCTGCCTCAGCCTCCTGAGTGTTGAGATTACTGGTGTGTGCCACCATGCCCAGCTTTAAGAGTTTAAAATTCTGTCCACAACTATCAAGTCCAACCCTTCTGTTTGTAGAGATGGGGTAATTGAAACCTATTATAGGGAAGAACTAATTTAGAGTGATCAACATGCCTGTGGCAAAGCAAAGCCTTAAATCTAGGTCTCGGTTACGGGGTCAATTTGGTAAACCTCTGATTTGCTGGATTTTTAGCCCTACATCAACAGATCAGGGGGAAGGTGATCAAGTGATTATTTGATTGTACCATTCATGTTAGCAGATATAGAGCGTAGTTCCTTAAATTATTTGAGGGCTTCTAGGTCTGCATTCAGCTAAAGTTTAACAGGGGCTGTGTGGCCTGTTTATTTTTCTGCCATTCCTAGCATTGCTTGAGCCACTTGAGTGGCACTAAAGTAGTACTTGGCAAATAGGAGGCAAGAATACGTCTTTTAACCCTTGAACCATCCTTGGCTGTAGACTTCAAGGGGGTCAAGGGGATCAGGAATGGAAGTTGTGTAAGAGAGGCTTCTGCCTCTCTCCACTTTTGATACTCAGTTCACTGAACTCTTTCTTAAAGTGCAAACGATAGAGACAGAGCAGAAACCATTTGGGAATTTACTTTAGGTTCATCTTTGAACAGCTGTCTGGTTATGGAGGGGCTGTAGGGCAAGAGGGTCTTTGTGAGCCCCTCAAAGGCACCAACTAATTTGTAATCATGTTAGGCTTGGGGGAAAGAAGGGTAATCTAACTTACCACTGCTTTATAAATACTTGTAATAGTTGCCTCTTTCAAGGTTGGTGTTCTTTTCTCTTGCCTCCTCATACAAATGCTTTACTGACTGGTAGAGCTTAAAGGGACGTGTAGAGGTCATCTAGTCTATCCTTCAGCCCCTAAATCTAATTCTCTCTGAATGGGATGAGATGACAGCTACAATTATTTTGAACTCTCATCTAATAGTGTTGCTTGGCAACAGCCTGTCTTAGATCCCTTTGTATATTCCTGGGAGGTTGGTCACCCACCCACCGGAATTTCTAGACTCAGTGTCACTAGATCTAGCTACCTACACTCGGATTTGGGCCTTTCATGGCCAGAATTACTCTGATCTTCAAAGATAGAACTGGGTCTGTGTCTGATCTTTCAAAGACAGATGAGTTTATCATATGCCTTGTTCTTAACTCATAATTCTTTCTTCCTATTATCCACATTTTCTTTTCCCAAAGAGGAAAAAAACCGTAAAGAATAACAACAAAAAAATAAGAAAACAAAGACAAGATTACAAAGTGGTCTTCTTCGGGTAAGCTTATTAGTCAAGTGGTGGGGCCCGTCTTTTCATTATTGACTGGCTGTGCTGTTCATCCCTCCCATTTCATGCTTGATAGAGATGAAAAACTAAAGTTTTAGGTTTTAATTTGTGGTGCGGGACCTGTCACTTTGCAGAGTTAGCTCAGGATTACATGAATTTGGAATGTAGGTGTAGAAAGTAAAATTGTATTGAGCATTTTTCTTCTCTTTCCATGTAAGATGATTTTCTTCTTTTTCAATTAGTAAAGTAATCTAAAAGAATTAAGACCTGAGGAAAGTTCTTGTCTTACAGACCCTCGATGCCTCCAGCTTGTTATGGGGGAACAGTGCTAGTAACAGATAAACTCTCAGAATCCTTCCAGTACTGATGTTCTTGAGAGCTTTGCTTGTACAGCCTTGGGCTTCCTGTTTCTACGTTCATTCCTTCAGGTGTTCTTTCTTCAAAGTTTGAGCACCTTCTTTGTGCCAGGTAGTGCTGGGTATAAAAAGTGGAATAGCATTTGCTAAAATGTATCTTCTATCCCCTATGCTTCTGGAGTGCTATTTCATTCTGAATAAGTTCAGAATGAAGTTGGTTTGTTTCATTGGATAAGAATACTGGTATGGGTACTCTTGGTTATTTCTTCTTAGTCTGGAGGGAAAAGGGCTGTGTTTTTCTTTATTGAGGAAAGAATGACTCTTAAGTGAGACTATATTAAGAAGGCTATGGGTAGACTGAAGAGCTTTGGACAAATACCAAAAAGCTTTATGTTTCCCCACCTTTCTTCTCACATTCCCAGTGCCTGTCTGA